GATCTTCTTATCATTATGTAGGTTCACCTTTGTCCCTTATTACAGACTTCCTTTAAAGTCTATTACGTCTGATATAAATATTTCTACCCCATTTTCCTACACTTTCCATTTGCATAGGCTATTTTAGTCTGTTACTTTTAGTCTGTGTGTCTTTAGGTCCAGAATGAATTTCTTGCAGGAACATATTGACAGATTTTTTTTTTTGGATGGTTTTTTTTTTCTTAAGATTTTATTTATTTATTTATGAGACATAGAAGCAGACATGGGCAGAGGGAGAAGCAGGCTCCACACAGGGAGCCCGATGTGGGACTTGATTTTGGGACTCCAGCATCATGCCCTGGGCTGAAGGCAGGTGCTAAACCACTGAGCCACCCAGGCGTCCCTAGGGTCTTGTTTTTTTTTAAGCATTCTGTCTAGGTCTTTGATTGGAATATTTGCAACATTTGCATTTAATTATTTTTTAAAATTTATTTGAGACAGGGCGTGTGCACACAGGTGGGGGGAGGGGGGAAGGAGGGAGGGATGGAGGGAGAGAGAGAGAGAGTGAGCATAGAACCTGACATGGGGCTCTATCTCAGAACTGTGAAACCAAGAGTTGGAAGCTTAACTAACTATACCACCACGGTGCCCCTAAAGTAATTACTGATAGGTATGTACTTATTGTCATTTTGTGTTTTAATTTTTTTTTTTTGTAGTTTTTGTCTCTCCCTTTCTTCTCTTGCTCTCTGTGATAGAGGCCTTTTTTAGTGGTATGTTTTGCTTTCTTCATTTTTTTGTGTATCTATTATAGGTTTTTGGTTTGTGGTTACTAAGAGATTCATTTATAATATTTTAAGTATATATCAGTCTATAATAAGTTGATGGTCAGTTATGTTCAAACACATTTTATGTGAACTTGATTTTTTCCTCCCCCCCCTTGTTTTATGTATATGTTGTCATATTTTATATCTTATTTTGTTTTTTTTTTAATTTTTATTTATTTATTTATTTATGATAGAGAGAGAGAGAGAGAGAGAGAGAGAGAGAGAGAGAGAGAGAGAGAGAGAGGGCAGGCAGGCAGAGACACAGGCAGAGGGAGAAGCAGGCTCCATGCACCGGGAGCCCGATGTGGGATTCGATCCGGGGTCTCCAGGATCGCGCCCTGGGCCAAAGGCAGGCGCCAAACCGCTGCGCCACCCAGGGATCCCTTATATCTTATTTTGTGAGTCCCATTAACTACCTACTTTTTTAGATACAATAGATTTTACTACTTTTGTCTTTTAACCTTAATAGCTTTATAAATGATTGCTCTACTACCTTTACTGTTTCCTTTTACTGATGAATTTTTTTTTTTTTTTTTACAATTTTCTTCTAATATTGGCTTTTTCTTTTCCAGTTAAGGGAGTCCTTTTAACATTTCTTGTAACTGTGGTGATAAATTTCGTTTGGCAACTCTCCCTCTCCTTTAATTCTGAATGACAGCTTTGCTAGGTAGAGTATCATGGAGGTTTTTTCCTTTCCATGCTTTCAATATATCATGCCAGTCTCTTCTGGCCTACAAAGTTTCTGCTGAAAAATAAGCTAATAGCTTTAACCCTTGGATGTAACTAACTCCTTGTACTGCTTTTAAAATTCCATCTTTAATCTTTGACATTTTAATTATTGTCTTGTGTTCCTCTTGGCCTCATCTTACTCAGAATGCTCTGTGATTCTTGAACCTAGGTATCCACTTCCTTCCCAGGTTAGGGACATTTTCAGCTATTGTTTCTTCAAATAAGTTTTCTATCCTCCTCACTCTCTCCTCCTGAGACCCCTAGAATGTGGATGCTTATTCACTTGATGTCCAAGATATCCCTTAACCTATCCTCATTTTTTGGTCTCCTTTTGCTGTTCAGGTTGAGAGCTTTCCATTATCCTGTCTTCTAGATTGCTGGTCCATTTTTCTGCATCCTCTAATCCACTCTTGATTCCCTCTGGTGTATTTTCCATCTCCTTTACCATATTCAATTCTGATTTAAAATTGTTTTTATCTCTTCTTGATGTTCTAAGTTTATCAACTCTTCTATTATCATTACTTTGAACTCTTTATCAGGTAGATTGCTTACATTCATTCCATTTAGTTCTTTTTCTCAGTTTTTATTTGAAGCATATTCCTGTCATCTTGTTTGACTTTGTGTTTGTTTCTATTAATTAGGTGTAACAGCTGCTTCCAAACTTGAAGGCATGATCTTGTGTATGATCATCCCCTGTGTAGACTGTATGCAGCTGGTGATTTTGGCTGGCTGGCTGCCTGGCTGGAACTATGGCTGGTGTGAGCTGCCCTGCAGGCTGGCACAGTGCTAGGGCTCTTTGCACAGAGGATGCCTTAGCAGGACAGCTGATGCTTAAGTAGGTAGAAGGGGGGGGGGGAGCGGTGTCTTAAGGTGTTTGTGCAGGGGTACCTGGTAGGGTGGCTGGAGCAGAGGCAGGCATATGCCAGGGTGTCAGAGGGTGCTTTGTGAAGGGGGTGCCCTGGCAATAACCTGGAGCCAAAGCAGTATAGGCCTGGAGTGTGCTAGGGTGTTTTGCACCTAAGTATTGAATAGGGTGTCCTGTGTGCACTGTACTCAATCTCACTGGTCATATGGGTAGAGCTGGTGTGGGCTAGGAGCCTACGGCTTACTGAGGTGGGCTCACCCCAATGCTGTTTCTGTTCATGCTATGAAAGTAGAGAGGGAATGTAAACCATGGTGCTCATCAGTCCTGATCAAAGAGTTCCAATAGCACTCCCACTGTTTGACAGAGTTCTAGGACTGGATCTTCTATATTCTAGTTGGTCTTTTGAACAGTTACTTTACCTCTCCTGTGCCCGAAAGCAGAAAAATCTGCATATGGTCTCCCAATATACATCCTTCCTCACTGCAGTTAGCATCAGTGGTTGAGGATTTCCTTTGTTACTGTATCTATGTCTCTCTTGCTGTTCTCTACGCGGTGTGTTTTTCTGTTACGCAAAAGCTGTTCAGTCAGTCCTCAGTTCTTCAGGAGAAATTGTCTATAAAGAAGGGTAGATTTGGTGTGTCTGGAACAGGTGATTTTTGGGTTTTCTTACATCATTGTCTTGGCTCCTCCCTCCTCAGATGAATACAATTTAGATCAAGAATAGCAAATACCTGGTATGCAGGTCACCATACTTCTGACAAATTTTATTCCCAGAAAACTTTTCCTTCAGTCTCTAGATTGCTGTTACTAATAGGTTAGAATTAGTGTGTAGGGAAACAATGTCTTTGCTAACCCTGATCACACTATAGCGAAGGGCAAAGAGGAAGAGAATGAGCAAGGACTTTGCAGTAGGAGTATCTGTCAAATTCAATATCAAAACTAGCAGGAGGTACAGTTGCCAAGACAGGTAAGATTATGGAAGTTCCAGAATGTCAGAGTGAAGTACATTTTATTCTGAAATTTGATTCATTGAGGACATAAAATGTGTAATGGGTTTACATCCTAGAAAGTGTTTGGGGGAGATTATTTTATACTAGGATGTATAATAGTCTAGAGGAGAGATGGAGACCAATAAGGACTAATCTAAGTCTAATAATAACTTGAGATTTATAGTATGGATCAGGATGATGGCATAACCTTAAAACCCAGGAAGTTTTTAATAAATATTAATAGAAAGAAAGAAAGGCACAACAGCTGTGAGAAGCCACCCAAAGGAAAATGTGAGATTAGTTATGGGGTGTGAGAGAAGTCAAATAATGACCCAAAAGTTCTTAAATAGGCCACTACGAAAAAAATGACTGAAAAGAGTCTGGAAAGAGAAATGAGTTTTGGGGAAAAGATGACTAAGATTACAGAATTATGGTCACAGAATTAAGAGTTCTTTCTATGCCATCATTTTTTTACAGGTAGGAAACAGATTCAGATGTTTTTAGTGACATAGACCTACTTATAATACACTCAAGAGTAGAACCAAAAATTTGTCGAATATACTAATAGCTGCTTTCTCCAAAATAGGAGGTTAACTATGACAGAAAATCTAGGTAAAAATGCTCTTCATATTCAGGAGAGGGTAAGGATTTATACAGTGGATTTGAAATTTACCTGTTTAGAGGTGATCATTTAGTTTCTCCATTACTAGAATACAGCTCCCATTTTATAAAATGGGACTGGATGTATTTAAAAAATTCACTTTATAACCTATTTCACTATAGTGCTATTTAGGAAAGCTTGTACTTGTAAAGCTGAGCTTCCTTTAGTGCTAATACTTAGAGAATTATAGAATTCTGACAAAGTCCTAAAAAGAGTTATAATAGAATACATTGGCCAAAGTGTAAAAATCTTAACTGATTTCAATTTTTGTAATAATTAACGTGTTTACTAAGAGCAAAAATCTTTAATGAAGCTTTAGAACATTTGCACATATATAAAATAAGGCTAATCAATATTCAGCTAAGGTAATAAATATTTTAAAGAGACTCATCTTTGTTAAAGACTGGCTCACCAAATTTGAGTATTCTCATAAAATAAGACCATTTAAGTGATAAACATTTTGAGTTGATCAGCTTATCCCTTTAGCCATAAACCACTATTCTTTAACTGTAATGTTGGATTAAACCTATCATGTAATGTAATTATATATCAGGGGGTTAAATTCCCAACACAGAACAGTCAACTTGTGCCAAGAGATCACCTATCTAACCTGCACAATATTTTTTAAAAACTTCTGTATTTGAATTATCTTAGCATGCTTTTACTCTCTTGTTGCTTAAAAGCCCTCCCACACCCTATTGTCATTACACCTATTTCTTTCAATCAGTTCGGTTACCAGTCTAGCCTCTGAAAATATTTAAGTTTAAAACTACACAGTGCCCTGCTCCTAGTCATTGTATCTGTCCAAATTTATGTCTAGGTCAGTCCATGTGAGCAAAAATATCTTAGAACTGTCCTACTTCTATAAGTGTCAGACCCCATTTTCATATATGTAAACAGGTCTTTTTTTTCTTTGGTAGTGTGAGGTAAGAACAAAATAAAAAAAAAACAACTGATATAATAAGCATATTTGATATTACATAAAATGGCATGGTTTTCCACAGGTAACCTTTGATGTATCTTGGTCTCCAAAGAGCAAAAACAGGTGCTATAATTATACTGGAATTGCAGATGCTTGTGACTTTCTCTTTGTGATGTCTTATGATGAACGAAGTCTGGCCTTGTCAGAATGTATTGCAGCAGCCAATGCTCCCTATAAGGAGACATTAACTGGTAAGTATCCACAAATGATCACTTAAACATTAAGATTATTTTAGTTTTTCTAAATAATTTATACACCTTTTCCATTTATAAAGCTTCCTTGAAACATAAATATCACCTGGAGAGTTTATTTATTTATGATAGTCACAGAGAGAGAGAGATAGAGAGGCAGAGACATAGGCAGAGGGAGAAGCAGGCTCCATGCACCGGGAGCCCGACATGGGATTCGATCCCGGGTCTCCAGGATCATGCCCTGGGCCAAAGGCAGGCGCCAAACCGCTGCGCCACCCAGGGATCCCATCACTTAATTTTTCTAAAAATATATAATCCTCTATTATAGATCAGATGATGAGTATTAAGTTCTCATTGCACTGGTATTATTTGGTTGGGATTTAAATAAGTGTTCTAATGCTCTTTTTTTCAATTACATGAAGGGGATATTTTTGCAGAAATAACCAATATTAAATATTTTGATAGCAAAGATAGTTATAATGTGAGTACCTACCATGCATGATTGATAGAGGACTGTCATACTTGACATTTATTATTAGTGCCTATGCTATATTAAAAACTATTATCATTATTAGAATTAAGAGTACTTCTGTCATTCATATGAAGTGGGCTTTGCATTATCCTAAGTTTGGTCTGTATTCCATCAGCCAACTGAATAAAAGATTGCTTGCTGTCTTTTGGACTCCAGGTGAAATTTTCTGGATAACTGGCCATGATTTAAGTTTTGATTAATAAATAAAAAACCTTTTTATCTCTAAATCTTAAAACCTAGCCTCATCATGTCCAAATTAACAGTCTGATCATATGCATATGCTATTTAAAAATAAAAATTGTTACAAAGTATTTAATTTAGTGTTCCCAAACTATTTCATAGAACACAATTACCTCCTTTATCAATAAAGGCTCATCAAATATGTTGGAAAAAATGTGTATTTCACTCCTTTCTTGGATACTTAACAGTACACAATAACTTTAAAGGCTCTGAAACATTCTAGATAATCTTGAAACATCTCTTGGTGGGAAAACAGATTTTGCAGGGGGCACAAAAGGGAATGACCAGGAATTTGTTAATTTTCCTCTTTGCTATAACTACAGATTGACTAGAGTAAAAGGGGGACATTTCTTCTCCAATTCATACCTCTAGAAACCACACATGTTCCATGTTTTAGAAATATAAGAAATTCTGAGACCATCTCTGCCAGAAAGCTTAAGAACCTTCCTGAAACTTCAGAATCTAAAATATCATATCTTGGTTATGTTAGGAAACATTAGTATTTTGCACAAATATACCTGTTTTTTTCAAACTTGGATTCTGAATGGTTGCATAGCTTGTATAAACCCATTAGTAGACTATAAAGAGAAATGTTTTTTTTTTTCTGTCCCAATTTGATTAGGATATGATGACTACATCAAGATAGGTATTAACCCTAAGAAACTCGTAATGGGTATTCCCTGGTATGGTTATGATTATACCTGTCTAAACTTAATGGAGGTAAGTACAGATTATTTTTTATATAACTTTTTCCTCTTTCTATTCTTTGGAGCTTGTTTTGTTTCATATATATGTTTGAGACTAAAAAGTACAGTTTATTTTTAATTAATCCCATGAATGTTATAAATAACCTCACTTTACAGAATATAAGTTAAATTTCATCATTAAAAAGAAATATATAATATTTTATTTCTAAAAAATAGTTTCCCTGATTTGGTTCCTAAGATTTGCTTAACTGACAAATCTATAATATGAACATTTTTGTATTTCTAGGATCGTGTTTGTACCATTCCAAAAGTCCCTTCCTGGAGGGCTTCTTGTGGTATTGCTTCAGGACATCAGGTGCCCTATAAAATAATTATGAAGCAAGTAAATAGTTCTATTTCTGGAAGCCAGTGGGATAAAGATCAGCAAGCTTCTTACTATAACTATAAAGTAAGACTTTTCACAAATTATAAACATTTATTCTATTTTCATAATTGCATGTTTTCATAATAACATATTTGTTAAGACTTTGTTTTCTTTTAGGGTACAATATATAGACCAGTGTTTACATGAGTAAACTTGTCTAATCATGTACTTTGCTGGTTAGCAGTTCAAGTTATGGTAATAACAGAACTGCTTTGCATGGGCCACTTGTCATTTTAGATGGTGTTCTAAAAACCTGCGTATCAAACAGGATATCCTTAATAGTTAACGATTATGTATGCTAACTATGGCTTTGGGCCAAGATAGGTTATTAGCTCTGTAAGTCTCCATTTCAAAGTAGCCTAAAAATTCTGATTTATAGGCTGTTTTATAGGGAGGCATGAGGCTGAGAATAAAAAATACATTAGTGGAAAATGGCATAAACTGTGTGATATTAGACAAATTATATTACAGAAACTTGAAGAAATAAATGTCTAGAGCAATTCTGTCAGGTAGTGTTTGATAAATAGGAATTGCTTAACCAATGAGGCAAGGAAAAGTTACATTTTTTCATAATTTACCCTTAGCATAATAAAAACTTTACCACACTTCAAAAATCTAATTACAAAGCATCTTTGAATTTACTTTGGATTTTGTCATTGTAAAAGAGCCCTAAAATGATATGATGTAAGTTGATTCATAACTTTAAACATTATCAATTACATAAAAAGTCTTTTCTAAAATTTGAAAACTATATACCTCTTAGGCATATAATTAACATATTTATTAAGGTAATTTATACTCTTGTCTTTGCTGAACAGTGTGATAGTTTACACTCCGATGTACTGTTTTTTTTTTTGTAGTCCCTGACTTTTTTTCCTTACAGATTCTTTAAAGTTTTAGAATTCAGGATACATTTTGATAAGCCTTTAAAGGTCATTCATTTAATGGCACTTTAGATAACAGTTTTGTTACTATAGATTATCTTGTTTCTTTTTCATTTATTGTAAAATTCCATAGCAACCAAAATCAAATTTTTTGTTAATGAAGAGAATCATTCTGGTTTCTTATTCTCTTTCAGTGATAGCAGCCTCATACTTAGTATTCTATATGCCTTAATCATGCATAAATTAATCGTACTGTTAGGGTGAAAAACTGAGTAAATGTATCAAAAGGCTCAAAGTGCTTGCTATAATAATGGCAACATTCAGAGATATATGACTTTGGGTTTGCCTCTAAATCTACAAAAATAAATTTTACAAGTTGCTTTTCAATGGTGAATCACAATTAAAAATTTTTAAGAGTATGAGATATGCTTGTAGTAAATGAATCTACTACACTTAAATATGCCACAGTTTATTCATTTACCAAGAGACAAATGTCCTTTAAAGTAGTCCTCTTAGGAGACTACTCTAGCACTTATGGTGCTACCATAAATAAAAATATTACTGGCATCCACTGAGAATTGCCTTTGAAAGTTTCCCAGATATATATATAAAAAATCAGTAAATGATTTGAAATCACAGGTCATTCTATTTTTTTTTTCCCCTTAACTGTTTTTGCCTACTTCTGTTTCTTTCATCCAATCTTCTAAGAGAGACTGGTAGTACTAAATAGAGGCAGTTGATGCTGGGGAGGATTTTACAGGCTGGAAGGTGAGCATAAGACTATTTTCCAGTTTTTGGTTCTTAATTCTGTAAGACCTAGAAAAGGAGATATTTTCCCCACGCATTACCTTTTGATTTGGTTGATACATCATACACAAAATCATCTGCTGAGCTCCTAACTAAGCACATTTCCAGGAACTGTAGGGAATATAAAAAAATAATAAGCTGGTGTTAGAGGACTAGAGCAGTGATCCTCCTTAACTGTGTCTGCATATCAGAATTACCTAGTGGGATGGTAAAACGCAAACATATGTCCTAGTACTAGCCCTAGAAGATTTTGATTAAGTAGGTTTCCTGTGGGTCCTGTGATTTATGTTTTTAAAAGCCCCACAAGTGACTCAGATATACATCTTGGTTGATAATCATCAGATGAGACCAAGGAAGGAATTTTAGGACATGAGAAGAACTTTAGATTATATTAACAAATTCATTTGTGTAACCTTTGCTGTTGTGAAAAGTACCACAATCGTATCTAGAAAGTATCACATACAGAACCATGGAAGCATAAAGCACTATGTCTAAAATTTCTATTATTTCATTGTATCCTTTTTGAATTACTGGATTTAATATTGTACTCAACAGTTTAATTTATTCTTATAGGATTCTTCCGGCTATTTTCATCAAGTGTGGTATGATAACCCTCAGAGCATTTCTTTAAAGGCAGCATACATACAAAAGCATGGCTTACGAGGCATTGGCATGTGGCACGCAAATTGTCTGGACTATTCTGGAGATGCTCTAGCCAAACAGCAAACTGAAGAAATGTGGAAAGTCTTAAAACCAAAATTGTGACAGATAAACATCTTTTGTCAAACTATAAAAATTTAGAAAAATGATCTGTATAAATAGATCAGTTTCTTGCAGAGATAAAAATGTACACATTTTTGTCATGTCATATTAATATTGCCTTCGTATTTCTAAAATTTCCAAATATAAATTCTTAAATTCTTAGAAACTAATCTCTACCATAGCTCTGGATGCAAGTTCAATATCCCTGTATTTCCAGATTGCTTTTAATTAAAATATAATGAACAAACTAAGACTATTTAAAAGTGAAAATTATATAGTACTGTAAAATATGTAATAGACTTAAAAGCTTCAAAAATAACCAAATAGCCACCGTTTTGCTTTTTTCCTGAACACTTTGTAAAACCCACATGAAAAGTGAAAAAATAAAAACTTATATAAAATATTGCACCAAGAAGAACAATGGTTAAATTTTTTAACACATAAGTTTTAAATTAACATACCTAATTGAGATAGATGGTAAGGATGTGTCAATTTTCTTCTGTGCCAGTTCAGCTTTCAATGTGCGTAAATCTGAAACTACTTGTTTCCTCATCTATAAAAAGAATTACCTTTCAAAAATGAACTTTTATCTTACCCTTCTAAAATTGAGAGAAGCCTAATTGAATGCTGCTAGGGGAAAAAAATCTAGAACTGCACTATTCAATACAGTAGCTATGTGCCACATGGAGCTATTTAACAAATCATATAAAATTTAATATTCAGTTCCTCAGTCACACAATAAGCTACACTTAATTGTTCAATATCCATACATGGCTTGTGGTTGCTGTATCAGTGCAGATACGGAACATTTCCATCATTGCAGAAAGTTCTAATTGGACAGTGCTGGTTCTAGAAAGGGGTCAAGTATTCATCAAGAATCCTGTCATAAAGCTATTTCTGATACGTCAATTTAGAGAATTCATATGATTCCACATACATGAAAATAAATTGAGCTCAGGGTATTCAGTGGTTTGTCAGACTTATTTACGGATGACTCCATAGTGAAATTCTACTAAATTTTACTGTGGCCTTGTTATAGCATGCACATTTTCACAGGATTTTATTCTTGCATTTTTTTTTTTAAACTCTTGCATTTTTCTCACTCATGCTCTTGGGTTGTTAAGGCAATGATTTTAAGACAATCCTTACTATCCTTACACTATTGATACCCAAAATTAAAACACTAAAATAATTTATTTCAAGATAAATGTTATATGATTAGGAGAAATGCAAGTTACCTTAACTTCTATTATGAGTTTCATTTTATCAGTATCCAGTTTTCTCTTAAGTTGGTCAATTGCATGCTGTACTTCAGTGATCTGGATTATAAGGTAATTCTGTGTGAAATACATAAAGAATCCTTATTTAGTACATCTATTTTTAATTGCCTCGCAAACTAAGAAGTGATAACAAATACCAAAAAAACCCCCCAAAAAAAACAAAAAAAACCCACCCCAAATCATAAGAATAACCTATTGAATAAAATAAACTCATTGCTTTGGAGTAAATTAGTATTGACCTGCTGATTTCTTATGTCTTAGGGACCACATTCTCCTCTGTTCTACTGTTCTATTCATGTTTTATAAAAATAAGTAGGTTATCTGTACAGGTTGCCATTAAATTAGTACCACAAAAGCAAGAACTATTACTATAAAAGGGATATACTAGGTTTAAGATGCCAGCAAGGCTTTTGAAATTGTCATTACACTTTATTAGCTGAATCAGATTAGTATTACTTTAAAAATATTTAGTAATGGAATACTATATTTGATTTAGAAAAGTTTATGAAGTATATGGTCAACAAACACTATTTAAAATTTTAAGCTGCCTTTGTGAAAAAAAACTGTACACTGAAACCTGATTAAAAAAAATCAACTATCAGCTAAAATGGACAAACCATTACTTGAGCCTATTTGAGTCTTACATTAGATTTATCTGAATAGTAAGCTTTTAGTCATAGAAACAGAACAAACTGATGGGGGGATGGATAGAGGGAAATAAGTGAAGGTGGTCAAAAGGTACAAACTTGTAGTGAGAAGATAAATAAGTTTTAAGGATGTAATGTCTAGTATGATAACTATAGTTAACAATACTGTATTATATATTTAACAGTTGCTTAGAGGATAGACCTTAAAGGTTCTTATCACAAGAAAAATAGTTTGTAACTGTGAGATGCTGGATGTTTACTTATTGTGCTAATCGTTTCACAATATATACATATATCAAATCATGTTGTACACCTTATACTAGAATGTTATATGTCAATTATATCTCAATAAGACTAAGGAAAAATAAAATAGCAAACTTTTACAATTTCATCATGTCTAAAGTTAAATCATACTTTTATGGCCTCTGGAATTTATTGTCTATATATGGCAGAGTCACTCAATTAGAAAAAGTAACCTTCCTGGGATGCCTGGGTGGCTCAGTGGTTGTCTGCCTTTGGCTCAGGGCGTGATCCTGGGATCAGGGATCAAGTCCCACATCGGGCTCCCTACATGGAGCCTGCCTCTCTCTTTCTGTGTTTCTCATGAATAAACAAATCTTTTTTTTTTATTTATTTATTCGTGAGACAGAGAAAGAGAGAGATACAGGCAGAGGGAGAAGCAGGTTCCATGCAGGGAGCCCGATATGGGACTCGATCCCATGTCTCCAGGATCATGCCCTGGGCCGAAGGTGGCGCTAAACCGCTGAGCCACTGGGGCTGCCCATAAATCTTTTTTTTTTTTTTTTTTTTACAAGTAAACTTCTTATCTCAAGAAAAAGATTAAAATTTAATATAATTTAGTAAGTTCCTTAGAATATCAATACCTTTAGATTCTGTGGGCGTTATTAACTACTCCCCAGCTAAAGAAAAGGAATGTAGTGCATACTGTTGATCCCCTGCCTTATTTCATCAGGTATTCATCTCTTTTCAAAGAAAAGACCCTATCCACAGGTCAAAGAAAGTGACCCTATCCACAGGTCCAGAGGTAGATCCCAAGTAGTCTAAGTTAGTGCATAGCACTCCTTGATAACTATTATCAATCCAGGTTAGGCCTGGTTGAACCCCCACCAGGCTAAAGTTTTATAGTCTTGTTTGGGAGGCGCATAGCCCTACCAGCCATTGGCAACCCTACTGGTACCATGAGGAAAAGCAGTCTTATAATGAAACCAACACTAAAAATAATAGGGAAGAAGTATCAGAAGCACCTAGTCCCTTAAAGACATCATTAAGGTGCTGATTCTATCTTCTCAGCACCCACTACATGAGATCATAAATTTTCTTATTTAAGCCAGGTTAAGTCAAGTTTTTGTTACCTGTAGTCTAAAACATCCTACATATGATAATACTAACAATGATAAACCATGTTTTGAGTAGAACTTCTCTAAGAGAATGTGAACACAATTAGTAATAAGTACCTTAGAGTCTGTAATGTTTGCCAAATTCTTTGGTCTCATCTTGATCTCCCTGGCTTCAAGTTGCATGAGCAATTTTTTATAGTAAAGTTCCAAATCTTCTTGAAGTTTTCTTAAAACTTCCTCTAATGATGCTGTGATTTTCTTTGTTTCAAAGTACTTTTTCTTCCAACCATCACAGGCTACAAAAAAAGCAAAGACTATATAGTGTAAGTCTGACTCAAGGATTAAACTTTTCAACCTGGAAAGGACCCTAGAGTTAATTCAAACCCTTCTACTCCTCTACTCTTCCTCCCTCATATGTTGAGGAAATTAAAGCAAAGATGAAATGTTTATTAGATAATAAAAGGATCTGCTAAAAAAATTAAAAAATAAATAAAAGGATCTGTTTACAAATATAGTAAAATAGTGATAAACACAGGAACCAAGTTCTTTAGTCAAGATTTTTCAGAATTACAAATATTACCTATAGAAAAATGTGTACATTTATTTTGATTACTTTTTTCCATCATATGATTTGACATCATTACTTAAAACAAGAGAAAGGCAAAAAAAATTTTCAGCCCCTAAAATGACTTGTTTTATAAAATAAGCTGATTCTGATTCATCACTTATTAAAATTATACTAGATATATTCCCAAATTTATGTTGGGCAAAATTTCTTAAACCTGAGCCCCTTAGCTGAGAAAATTAAAAATTAAATACTGCCAACTTAGGGAAATCACTTCGACACCAATGAGATACTAAATACAAACTTAACAGGAACATAAACTGCATGCTATGGTATCAGAATATGCATTGCATTTATTTTTAAAAAATTATCAATGAACTGAAAATCAAATTTTATATCTATGTCTATCAGGTGATTTAATTAAAATTCTACAATATGGAATTTTAACTCAAGTTTATTTCCCTCATTCCCTATATCCAATCCCTCAGTAAGTTCTACTGGTACTACTGTCAAAATACTTCCAGCACTTGGCACATTCTACTTCTTCAATGCTATGTCCCAGTCAATCCACCGTCATGGTTTTTGTTTTTGTTTTTTAAGATTTTATCTTGAGAGAGTGAGTGAGGGCGCACATCTGTGCATGGAAAGGGAGAGAGAGAATCTAAACCAGAGTCCTCACTGAGTGCAGAGCCCAACACAGGGCTCAAATCTCAGGACCCTGAGATTATGACCCCTAATTATGACCTGAGCTGAAATCGAGAGGCAGACACTTAACCAAATGAGCCACCCAGGTGCCCTCACTATCATCTTCTTTTTTTTTTTTTTTAATTTTATTTATTTATGATAGTCACACACAGAGAGAGAGAGAGAGAGGCAGAGACACAGACAGAGGGAGAAGCAGGCTCCATGCACCGGGAGCCCGACGTGGGATTTGATCCCGGGTCTCCAGGATCGCGCCCTGGGCCAAAGGCAGGCGCTAAACCACTGCGCCACCCAGGGTTCCCCACTATCATCTTGTGAAAGTGCATTATGTTTCTAACTGGTCTCTGCTTCCATTCTTGCTCCTCTAACAGGCTATTACATACAGCAGTCATTCTGATCTTTTAAAAATATTTTTTTTTATTTTATTTATGATAGTCAGAGAGAGAGAGAGGGGCAGAGACACAGGCAGAGGGAGAAACAGGCTCCATGCACCGGGAGCCCGACGTGGGATTCGATCCCGGGTCTCCAGGATCGCACCCTGGGCCAAAGGCAGGCGCTAAACCGCTGCGCCACCCAGGGATCCCCTAAAAATATTTTTTAATTCATATGAACCTCTAGCTTCTAGTCTATTATTCAAATTTGTCTGATAAAATTTTTAACAGTACAACAAAGCTGAGTCATTGCCACCATTTCCAGGATAATATTTAATATTATGAGGTAGAACCTGCAGAAATATCTCCTGGCATTCCCTATAACCTTCAGTCAGTTCTAGTACTGAAGCAATTTTGCTGTAAATTGAGGATCCTGATACCAGTTAATTCCATATATACCTTTTATTCATATAATCCTCAAATACAACCCAAAATGCAGTCTTCTCAAATCCTTTAACATCTCTTAAGCCATTATTGTATACTTCCTCCATCCTAGCTCCTTTTTCCATTTATACCAGTCCTAACAACACTTGTTTCTCATTCTGTTGCAAAATGACCTACTTTTCTAATATCTTTCATTCATTTACTTCTTTAGCAAAGCAGACAGACATGACAAAATTAAGCATGTAGGGAAGACTAGAATTCAAAGAATGCTTCTATAGTAAGTTCTATCTAAGCTGAGATTGAATCACTAGTAGGAAATAGCCAGGTGAACTGGGAAAAGGGATACTGATGGAAAAGAAAATGTGGATGGCAGAGAGAAAAGCATGTCTGAAGGTCTACAGACATGAGGAGGCACACTTCAGATTCCAGCATACTTAACACTTTTCTGGGAAGTCTTTCTTGATCTCTTCCATCTGATTTGGGTGTTCTTCCTCTGTACTCCTGTGTATACAATTCTGTGATTCCTTTATCATAGCATAATGATAATCAGGATGTATTCATTACTATTTTCTTGATTATCATTTCCCCACTGGACTATATAACCTCTTTGAGGGCAGAGACAAAATTGTGTCTGCCTATTATTATCTCCCCAGCCCCTAGAATGATGGCTAAATTCAGTGGACAAAACTTATTTAGTAAATGAATAAATGAATTAATGTTATAAAAAAATGTTTGAACTTAAAAAATCTTCTGTAAAGCATATTAATGATAAAAGATATAATAAACTTTACCATGGTATCGCTTCAATTTACTTTGTTCAAATAGCTTTTCAACTTTTTTTATTTGTTCTTCTCTAGTTCTTTCCAGGTATCTTCTTTCTTTCTTCACTTGTTTCATTTGTTCAATAATCTTCTCTCCTAAAAGGTAATAATGTATCAATGTCTAAAAGTCAAAATAGTTGAGGGTGTAAACTTAAAAACATTTTAAATAGTAAATTTTACCCAAATGTCTGTTTTTCTTGCTGTAATATAGCATTTGCCACTTCGGAAAATACTGAGGAGTCATTTCATTTTCTAACAGGGATATATAAGGGGATTTTCATATATGTAAAGAATACAGTATGTCTCTTCTTCATTTATATATATGCGTAGAAATTAGGTAAGGTTAAAGTAGTTATGCTTCTTGGTTTAATTCTTTCGGTATATTTATCTTGGACCTAGAGTTATTGCCTTTACATGAAAAGTGTACACACACACACACACACACACACACACAGATTTTTATTTATTTTCAAGAGAGAGTGTGTTTGCTTATGTGAACAGGGTGAGGGGGAGAGAGGGAGAGAATCTCCGGCAGACTCTGCATTGAGCACAGAGCCCAATGTGGGGCTCCATCTCACACCCCTGAGATCATGACCTGAGCCGAAATCAAGAGCTGGATGCTTAACAGACTGAGCCACCCAGGCACCCCCCAAAATGTATTTTAAAAGCACTATTAATGATTAAACATGCAGTAATTAACATATAATTCATGTACTTTAAAATAATGTAACATCTTTGTGGTAAAATATACATAGTAAAATTTAGTTTTTAGTTTTAACTACTTTTAAATGCACAGTTCAGTGGCACTATATACATTTACAATGTTTTGTAACCATCACCACCACCTATCTCTAGAACTTTTTATTTTCCCAGATTGAAAGTCTGTACACATTAGACAATGACTGCCCATTAATATTTAACTTTACCTCACAGAATCATGTGTACTTATAGTGTCATCATACTTACTTTCAATCTGTAATGAAGAGATATCAGTTATTCCTGGAGAAAGAGCAGGATGACCAGGAAGTGAAGGAAAATCAATAAGATCTGGTAGGATGATGCATTCTTTTTTACCTATCTGTAAGCAAATATGAAAATGAGTAAGATCTAGTAGGATGACACATTACTTTTCACCTATTTGTGAGTATTTGATAATTCACAATAGCAGTGCATTTTTTTTTTGCTTATATGGTGGCAAACTCCCAAATCTGTATTTATAACCTTATATTCTCTCCTGTGCTCCAGCTTCTCTATTCCACTATTCCCTGGACATTATACATAGGCACTTCAAACTTAAAATTGAGAGGAGAAAAAAAAGAATCCACAAATCCTTCCTAAACATGATTTCCTTCCAAGATTTATCTCAGTTACTTGTTAAAACTTTTAAAATTTTCTAAGATGACTACTGATTTCTTTTTTATCTTGGGTCAATTTTGATAATTTATATCTGCTTAGAAAATTAGAATATTTATTACATTTTCAAATTAGCATATATTTTATTCTCATATATTTTACCTGGTCTGTCTTCATGTTTGTATCGCCTTCATCTTTCCTAACTTTTGTGTTACTACCCTTTTATGATAAACTACCTTAAGCCTTACCAATGTTGATGTTTCTCCCACTACCACTTCATAGATCTTGAGTTGTTTTCTTTTTCTCTTTTTAAAAGATTTTATTTATTTATTCATGATAGAGAGAGGGAGAGGGAGAAGCAGGCTCCACGCAGGGAGCCCGATGTGGGATTCGATCCTGGGCCTCCAGGATCGCACCCTGGGCCAAAGGCAGGCGCTAAACCACTGCGCCACCCAGGGATCCCCTCTTGAGTTGTTTTCAATTCTGCTAGGTTTTTCATTTCTGTAACTTCTTAGTGTCTCCTTCTATCTTCATTAAGCCTTTACTGCTAATTTGTTTTATGGTTCTTTTTCTAGTTTTTAATGTTACAATATTAACTTATAAGTTCAGGTTCCTATAGGACAATGGGCAACCACCTAAGTTTCTATCTCTCCATTTATCCTCCCAATTACTATAAAAGGGAAACAAAATTACCCATGATTTACATCTATAGCATAACTAGGATACAGAATCCTTTAATTTACACATACTTTAATTTACATATTAGTGGGGAAATAAACACCCTAGGCTATCAGAGTGTGCTCTGGAGCCCACCTCCAAACAGATGTGGGCTGTGATTTAGAGACTGCTATACAAAGATAACACAATAAACATCAATCACAATTTAGTCTAGAAGATGGCGGCTCCACATGCATAGAAGAAATACTGAGAGTAAGGATAAGATCTTGTAGTCAGAGCACTTTTGATGAGGTGGCCAAAAGAGAAAGATTATAAAATGCAGGGAGCCAGAGGTGGTAATGATGGGAAACAGCTTCTAGGAGAGAGAAAAAATACTATGGAAGAGATATTTGCTTGGGGCAAATAGAAAAGAAGGTGGTAAGAGAAAAGAAGAAAGTGGTCAAGATAATAGCTCTGCCAAATTAAATTAGTAGAAGAGAATTCAAAGGAAACAGACACTAAAGACCCCATTTATTTAAAAATAAATAAATAGCTGCATTTCACTATATCAACAGATGAGGGAGCTCCTGACCTAAGAAGCAAAAGAAACCAGCAACCACCACTCCCTGTTCCTCTATAAGAACACCTGTTCCTACTTATATGAAAAAAATCCAAAACAAAGAAACATGAACAATATCAATAAAATGATCTAGCATCCACACAAATTTACTTTTTAAAACCCTCAAAACTAAGAACTAAGACAAAATAAAACAGGCAGCCATGAGGCAGAGAAAAATTTAACAATTACTTCCAGTATAGGTTAAATAGAATTAAGCAAACATTTGCAGATACCAACAAATACAATAAATCAGTAATTTTAAAACTCAGAAAAAAATAGGAAAAATAACAGGAAGATGTGAAAGTTGGCTAAACTGAAAAAAGGAAGAAAAAACAAAATTTTCTCAGAATTGAACAGATTAGCAAACATCCAAGAAGGAACAAATACAGTCAAAAAATGGATAGTGGAGAATACAAATAAAAGGAGCAAAGAAAATGAAACACAATAGTATTTATTATATCTACTGTATGTACATTACTTAGAGAAAATAACATATGTAAAAGCTAAAGAAGAAAAAAGAAAATAGAATGGATTTGCTATCTAAATTGTTTTCTGAAATGCTAATTTTGGTAAATATTCCTGAAATAAAGAAGTCCCGATTTTCACACTTCAAGGATTCACTTTGTACCCAGGAAAACCTGACCTAGAGTTCTCAACTGAGATACAACTTGGTAAAACTAGTACACATTTAAGGAATCCTCTGGCCTTCTGGACAAATGCACTTGAGCTACTTTCCAAAAAAAAAAAAAAAAAAACACAAACAAACCAAAAAACAGGTGTCACACTTACTAGTAACATGTCAAACAAGATACCAGTAGAGCAACATTTCAAAGAAACCAAAGGGTAAAAAGATGTAAGCCAAGGATGTGATATCCAATCAAGCAATCCTTCAGGTATCAAAACTCTACAGCAAGGATTAAAAAATTTTGTAAAGGGCCAGAGAGCAAATAATTTAGGCTTTGCAGGCCACATATGGTCTCTGTCACGATTCTTCTTTTTTTTTCAATTCCTTAAAAATGTAGAAAACACTCTTAGGTCCAAGACCTTACAAAACTGTAAGCCCTAGTTTGCTTAACTTTGCTCTAGACAAAATATTGTATTGAATATTGTAGCTAGGTGCTTTTTTAAATTGAGCTTAATCCAACCAAGAGATGATTGAAAAATCTTCTGCAAAAGAACTGGCAGTAGGTGTTGAACATATTTAATTACAGATCGAGACTAAAACAAAGGTGAGGGGGTAAGACTAGAAGTATGGTATATGAATGTTATATTCTTTGACACAGTAGAAATAACACAACTAAAAATACATGAGAGGAGAAAGATTGTTTTGATGGCCATGAATATAACAGGTAGGAGTCATGATAATTTTAGAGGTAACAAATCAAAAGAGAAAGCATAAATTTTTAAAAAAGGAAAAAGGGAGACTAAGAATACTAGCACACATGTATCAATATAAAGGTAAATGCCAGAGCAAAAATACAACCTTCCTAAAAAGAGGAGGGGAGGGGGAAGTACAAATAAACCACACAGTAACTATAATATAAAATAAAATGACAAATCTCAAGTCAAACACATCAGTCCTATCAATAACATAAGTTGACATAACTCACCTACTAAATGAAAAGTATTTCAGACTGCTTCACAAGGCAAAAACCCAACTCTATCTAGGCTGTACATAAAAGACATATCTAAAACAAAGCAATTCAGAAAGGCTGGAAAAAAAGTGGGAAAGGAAGATGAGGGTACACTAAATAAATATATAAAAAAAGAAAGGTTAGTATCTTGATATGCAATTAAAAGGAGAATGGCCAAAAAAAAAAGTATTAAATGAGTAAAAAATGTACAAAAGTGATTCTAGCATTCACATAAGAACAACTTTGTGCCAAGTAACACATATAAATCTAAAGCAGAAACCACAAGGGATGTAAGGATAGACAGTAACACACAAATAATAGGAAATTCTAATATACCATTCTTAATCTAAGACACAGCAAGAGAATGTGGGGAAAAAATAAAGATATGGAATACCTAAGGCATGTCTATAGTCTACCCATCCAGCAAGGTAGACTATAGACAAGGCACAAAGTAGGGGAAGATACCTGCAACATACATAAGCATCAAAGAAACATCTCTAGAGTATTTAAAAAACTTATGTCAATCAAAAGCATATAGCAAACAACCCAGAAGAAACCGTTGAAAAGGTACTTTTCAAAAAGTTACCAAAATGAAAAAAAAAAAAAAGTTACCAAAACGGAGTGCATAAAAATATTAAAACATGGTTAAATTTATGGATAATCTGGTAAATTATTCAAATCACTGATAGCATTAAGCATCTTACTAGACTGACAAAAATCTTAAAGCATGAAGATAGCATATTTTATTAATATTCAGCAACAACAGATCAATTATTTGCTGAAGATGGTGTGCCTTTTGCTCTAAAATGCAAGGACTCTGAGCTGTGATTCTCCTACCAAAGCTGATCTCAGACTCCATTCAGCATCCCAATCTACTACACATCAGGCAGCACTATATTAGCTGGACGTTAAAACACAAATGGCAACACTGCTTGCAATGCCTCTCAGATCGCCTTTTGAACATTCTCTTGCTTTGGGCCCAAAGTTGGCACTCTTAGATTAATTACTTGATTAAATAAACAAACAAACAAACAAACAATTTTAGTATATGTTTCAGTATATGTGCTGCTGAAGCAAGTACAAAAAAAAAAAAAAAAAGGACTAAAGGAGCATATCCAAATGCAGCAATCTTACTCCAAATTCCAAAGAGGTCCATCAAATGACTCATTCTCAGTGATAATTGGGGCAAGATATACAAACCTGGCTTTCATTTTAAAAGGGATACCTCAACATGTCCCACCCATACCATGGAACACCCAAAAATTTCACTGAATTGGTAGGTTCCTGAATTTTCTTGAGGCTTATCTCCCATCCTCAACATGTCCCACCCATACCATGGAACACCCAAAAATTTCACTGAATTGGTAGGCTCCTGAATTTTCTTGAGGCTTATCTCCATCCTCTAACCTCTAAGGTTCAAAAACTTAAAACATTTTAAGCTGCAGTTCTGTTCCAATTTCAGTATGAATATTGTTGCAATACTGTATTTAAACAAAAAATTTGGGACCCCGGGTGGCTCAGTGGTTCAATGTCTGCCTTCAGCTCAGGACGTGATTCCTGGTCCAGGAATCAAGTCCTGCATTAGGGAGCCTGCGAGGAGCCTGCTTCTCCTCTATGTCTCTGTCTCTCTCTTTCATGAATAAATAAATAAAATCTTAAAAAAAAAAGCTCAAAAAACAAAAAACTTAAAATCATACCTGATTGTCCTCTGTTCTAATGAGATTAACTCTATCATCTTCATTTTTCCAAAGAAATGGACTTAGAGGAAATGACATATTTGAAAGTCATATTAAAAAATCATCATGCATATTAGCTTTTCACATTTTATATATCTTATTTGACATTCTATAAACATAAATTTTACATTAAAACCTTAAAAAGCCTGAGACCATTAGCATATTATCTTTCAAACTCATTAATGATCAATATAAACTACATTTAATATGAGTAATAAAATCCTTTTATATTACATCTAAATTCAAATCCCATTACAATGTCTATAGCAAAGTAAAATAAAAATTTTGGAAATATATTTATAGTTCTTTTGCGAATGATTGTTTATAAAATCCCTCATCTATATTTCAAAAGACTATATGCAAAACTGTTGTCTAAGTACCATAATTTTGAATGAAATGATTCCATATGAAATTCAAGCATACTGGCTAGTTTACCCATAACCAAGAATATAAGTGAGGCAAAAAAGTTAATTGTAAGAAAGGCAAATAAAGACAAATTTTTCTGTCATTAGGCTGCCTCTGATGACAAAAGAAGTATAGAAATAAATTTAGGTGATAAATTATTCATTATATTGGAGAGGAATGAAAATTCCATATATAATAACAGGGGAGATTAGAGTCAAGGCAATTTTAATCAAAAATATCATTAATTTTACTCATATGTTTGTTCTAATTAGAAGTCCTTTTAACAGTACCCTGGATACCTCACTCTTTCTTGTAGTTTAGACTAATGACATGTATAATCAACATCTATTCTAATTACCTTTTTTTGTTGCTAAAATAATCACTACTGGATTCTTCCAATGGTCCCGGAACTTCAGAATTTCCAGTATGAGTTTTTCCAGTCTGTTTTTCTTTTGGAGTAGCTTTTCCCCCAGCTGATGTTCCTGTTCATCCATGGCAAATAAAGTTCATAATAAATAAACAGTAAAATAAAACTTTGTACAAGTATGTATATATATGTACCTACTGTAATCTTGTCCTGTGTTTCAGAATCTCTATAAACTCTACTATGCATGATATAACACAACACTTTCCAAAGTGAATTTCAAGAAGTGGTTTATGTGAAGAATTCTTTGGTCAATTCAGTTTGGGAAAAAACGAATTAGGGAATCCTACCAGGAAGACAACATACAGACACACATACACACAAACCTGCAGGATTTCTGTTTTTTTTTTATTATTATTATTTATTCATAAGAGACAGAGAGAGAGAGAGAGAGAGAGAGGCAGAGACACAGGCAGAGGGAGGAACAGGCTCCATGCAGGGAGCCTGATGCGGGACTGGATCCTGGGTCTCCAGGATCACGTCCTGGACTGAAGGCAGTGCTAAACTGCTGAGCCACTGGGACTGCCCAGATTTCAGTTTTTATGGAAAATGCGAATCTCCAAGATGGGGGTAAGTTGGGTTTTACTCAAACATAAATGTCTTCAGAAAGCTTTTGCCTTTGAAAGGCATATTTGAAATTGTACTGAGGAAACTTGTCTGGAAAATGCTGGTACACATACAGAGCATATAATGTCATGTTATCTCACATACATTTCTACTTATAAAATCTCCCTTCAGGGACACTGGATGGCTCAATGGTTGAGCGTCTGCCTTTGGCTCAGGTCATGATCCCGGGGTCCCTGCATCAGGCTCCCCATGGGATCCTGCTTCTTCCTCTGCCTATGTCTCTGCTTCTCTGTCTCTCATGAATAAATAAAATCTTAAAATAAAATGTCCCTTCACCTTAACAAAATTACCCCATATAGGAAAACTATATGATGTCTTTAAAATGTTAACATTAATGTTCTATATGATCTATATGAATAAAAGATCCATGAACCTGGCAGTGTTAATGCAGATATTTTTCCCTTGGATAAATCACATTTTTTAATTTAGAAAAAAATTATTGAGTCATGTTAGTAATTGAAAAATAATTTACAAAGGCTGCCACAAAATTTTGCAACTTGAAGCCCATACTTATTTTTGTCTAGCTGCTACATTTTCTAGCTGGTACATTTGAAGTAGTCTTTCAAGAACAATAAACAGAGATTTTCTAAGGGATATATTTGATGCAAAATGAACAAATCCCAGATGTATCAGCTGTTTAAAAGGTAGTAATAAAATACCACCCCCCACCCATCCACCCAAAGAAAGAAATAACAATGCAAAATTCAGCAGATTCTGAGTAATTCTAATAGGGATATATGGCACATGTACCCCATTCCTAGTAACAGTTTAGAGCATGATGACTGCATCATTCAATACCTATGCAATTTAATAGTATAAAGAAAGCAGGTCTATACACTTTTGAAAAAAGTTCAGTATGACTCTAGCAGTATTGTGAATAAAGCACGGGCTTTAGTCAAACACATAGGAGTTTAAATCCTGGCAATGTCACAGCAGGTGTTATTTCTCTAACCTGCTTATCTCTAAAATGGCAGAGTACAGATAAAGTACCCAGAACAGTACCCAATCCTCAGGAGTCTCTTGACTTCAAGTTCTGATTTCTGTTCCACTGCATTTCACTGTTCAGGTCTTTATTACTTCAGTCAATTATCCATAATGCAGCCTAAGTTGTTTTTCCAGAATTGAAGTACAATCATATTACTCCCAATAAAATAAAGCAGGAAAGAATATTCAGTGGAAAAAAGACAGTCTCTTCAACAAATGGTATTGGGAAAACTGGACAGCAACATGCAGAAGAATGAAACTGGACCACTTACACCATACATAATAATAAATCCAAAATGGATGAAAGACCTAAATGTGGGACAGGAAACCATCAAAATCCTAGAGGAGAACACAAGCAGCAACTTCTCTGATGTCATCCATAGCAACTTCTTACTAGATATGTCTCTGGAGGCAAGGGAAAAGCAAAAATGAACTATTGGGACTTCATCAAGATAAAAAAAACTTCAGCACAGTGAAGGAAACAACAAAACTAACAGGCAACCTTTGGAATGGAAGAAGATATTTGCAAATGACATTATCTGATAAAGGGTTAGTATCCAAAATGTATAAAGAACTTATCAAACTCAATACCCAAAGAAGAAATAATCCAGTTGAGCAATGGGCAGAAGACATGAATAGACACTTTTCCAAAGTGACACCTGTCAGAATGGCTAAAATCAACAACACAGGAAATAAATGTTAGCAAGGATGTGGAGAAAGGGGAACCCTCTTACACTGTTGATAGGAATGCAAACTGGTGCAGCCACTCTGGAAGACAGTACAGAGGTTCCTCAAAAAGTTAAAAATAGAACTACCCTATGATCCAGAAATTGTACTAGTAGGAATTTATTTAGAGGATACAAAAATACTGGTTCGAAGGGATACGTGCACCCTGATGGTTATAGCAGCATTATTAACAATAGCCAAACTACGGGAAGAACCCAAATGTCCATTGACTGATGAATGGATAAAGAAGCTGTGGGGTGTGTGTGTGTGTGCGCGCGCGCGTATACACTGGAATATTACTTAGCCATCAAAAAGAATGAAATCTTGCCATTTGCAACAATGTGAATGGAGCTGGAGTGTATTATGCTAGGTGAAACAAGTCAAGTCAGAGAAAGACAAGTACCCTATGATTTCACTCATACGTGGAACTTAAGAAATGAAACAGATGATAATGGGGGGCGGAGCAAACAAACCACAGAATAAACTCTTAGCTATAGAGAACAAACTGAGGGTTACAGGAGGGGAGCTGGTAGGGGGATGGGTTACATGGTGATGGGTATTTATTTTTAAGATTTATTTATTCATGCGAGACACACACACACAGAGGCAGAGACATAGGAAGAGGGAGAAGCAGGGTCCCCGTGGGGAGCCCGATGTGGTACTTGATCCCAGGACCCCAGGATCATGACCTGAGCCGGAGACAGATGCTCAACCACTGAGCCACCCAGGGGTCCCAAATGGTGATGGGTATTGAAGAGACCCCATGTGATGAGCACTGGGTGTTATATATAAATGATAAGCCACTAAATTCTACTCCTGAGACTAATATTGCACTGTATGTTAGCTAACTGGAATTTAAATAAAAACTTGGAAGAAACAAACACAAGCTCAAATGGCTCCCCACTGCCTAAAACTTCTTTAGTTTTGGAACCAAGGCTCTTCAAGTTCAAGTCCCTACCTCTACCTATCTCTCCAGTTGTACTTTATGGTATTTCATCCTCCCTTTCTACCCCCAAACTATAGTAGTAGTAGTAGTAGTAGTAGTAGTAACTAATAATAACTAAAAGTTACTGAATCAACTACCACATTAAGCAAATCCTGAAAGCTCCATTCATATCATGATCTAAGTAAAGGAAGCCTTCTGGAATTTGGCAGTGAACAATCTGCATGGCCAAACATTTGCAACCCTGGGTTTAAAGTCAGAGTACAAAGGGTGGTCTATGCCATCTTAAAGAACTAGGCTTTAACTAGTAATCAGTGAGTTTTCAAAGGTTTTCAAGCAGGGAGATAAATAATCCAGCCTGTAACAAGAAGAATAATGCTGACTACACTCTGGAGAATAGACTGGAAAGCAGATTATAAGCAAGGAGGCTACAAGATGTTTTTCAAGGTTCCTTTACTGTAAGAATCTATTATTTTACAGTGAGGAATATTTCAAAACTCAACGTCTGAACAATTGGAGGAATGATGAAACCATAGAAGTCAAGAAAGTATACTAGTTTGGGGCAAAAATGGAGTCAAGTATTAAACACATTAAAGTTGAGGCATAAAAATGTATGGATGTGTTGCATGGACCCATGGTAAGGAACAGATGATAACTAATAAGAGGAAATACCCATTTTGATATGGAAATGGGTAAAGCATTATTCTTTTTCTCCTTCATTAAAGGATTTGTAAAACATACTATGCAATTACCAGCTATATTTGATAATATAATGTTAGACCTCAGATATCTTGCATTCTCATGTACCACAAAAGAGTAATTTGGCATTTTTAAGAAATTGCACAATAATCAACAAATGGGAAGAGTACATATGGAAAAGAAATTAAGGAACTTTATCTCATATAACATATAAAAATTAGTTCCTGGATATGTTGATAAACTATGTTGGAAAAGCAAACCATAAAATGTTTGAAAGATAATACATGATCTCAGGGTAGAAAAGGGATTTTTTAAAAGGACAAGTAACACTACCCATAAATGAAAATGCCAAATAAATTTGATTATATTAAAATTTAAGAACTACAGTTCCATTTCTGCATAGGATTATAAAAAGATGAAACAATGCTCCCACTTGAATAAAGAGAAAAAGGTAAATAACCTATAAAATAATAACTTTTCTTGAACTCATCAGAGAATTATAGTTGCAAGGAACTGATTTCCAGTTCCCTCCTAGGTGAAAACTAATTGTTTCATCTTTGGCCAAGCACAGGAGGAAGGGGTACTACTATTACAATAAGAAGAGAGCTAATATTTTAAGGAATTCTAAAGGGCAATGTAGGCTATCAGTATAGTTTGAAATCTCTGGGATCCTCAGACACAAACAGAAGTCAATACTTAATAGCAAGCTCCTTTCTATGTGCCTGTATCATACTTATAGGAAAGACTGGAGGTAGAGGACACCTGAAAGAGCCATCAGTGATTGGCACAGAGGTATGAAACCCCATCCTTCTCAACACTATTCTTTCACACAAAGCAAAATCTTAAGCCCCTGGGGGAAGGAACAGGAAACTCCCTATCTCAGAACCCATGCAAAAACCTATTGGCCCTTGAAAAGGCATAGAGGCAAAACAAAACAAAACAAAAAAACAAGAAACTGCTCTAAAAGGAAGAGCAGGTGACTCTCCTCCCAACAATATTAGCTTTGAAAAGTTTTATCACTAGAGAAGCGGTAGGAAACCCTCTCATCATCAGGCATACGTAAAGCCTAAAGAAAGGGTAGAAGTGAAAGCTGTAACGATCATCTTGGGCCCAGGATCATGCACTGATACAAAAGCATTGTTTTACTACCACTGGGGAGGTGGGGGGAAGCTCTCCTAAATATAAAAAGTCACTTTCCCCCTACTTTTAATTTCTTTAAAAGATAACTGACATTGTAAAGTAAATATGTACTGTGGAGTTATACTCAGAAGGAAAATGTATGACAACAGCACCACTGCTATATAGTTCTTATCTTATATATGGAGTTGTATATTATTTGAAAGTAGACTTCAAATTTAAAGGTGTATAATGTGTAACTTAGAGCAAGACTCAGTAAGCTTTTTCTTAAAGGGCTAGATACTAAATATCTCAGGCTCATGGACCATTTGGTCTTTGTCACAACTACTTAAGTCTATCATTATAGTATAAAGATAGTCATTGAAAATATGTAAATTAATGGGTATGGCTGTCTTCCAATAAAAGTTATTTATTTTAAAAAGCCATATAGAGCATGGATTAAAATAAAATACAATAGGGGTGCCTGGCTACCTCAGTCAGTGGGGCAAGCAACTCTTGATCTTGGGGTGTGAGTTCGAGCTCCATATTGGGTGTAGAAATTACTTAAAAAAAAGATTTTAAAAAAGTATAAATATAGGTATTTGATGACCTCTACCCTATAGCAACCACTAAAAGTTTTCTAAAATAAGAAACAGTGAGCTAATAGTAGAGATAAAAGTGGATCATAAAAAACTTCTCAATCCAGGAAAAGGCAAGAAAATGGAGAAACTAAGAAGATAGAAGAGACAAACAAAACAAATAGCAAGGTGGTAGATTTAAAACCAACCACATCAATAATTACATCGAATGTGTATATGGTCTAAATACTCCTAGTAAAAGGCACAGATTGTCAAACTGGGCTAAAAAGTAAGACCTAAATATATGCTGTCTACAAGAAACCCACTTTGGATATTCAGTAATAGATAAAGGCATGGAGAAAGATATACCTTGCAAACACTAATCAAAAGAAAGCTCAAGTGACTATATTAATACCAGGCTAACTAAACTTTAAAATAAAGACTACTACCAGAAATAATGAGAAACATAATCACATTGGGAGCAATTCATCAAGAAGACATAATAATCCTAAATGTGCATGCATTTAATAACAGCTTCAAAATACATAAAGCAAAACTGACAAAGTGTTGAAGATGTCAACACAATCCTTGTAATTGTTAGGACATGTTGACAAAATTTAAGAACTCCTTTCATCAAAATAATCATAAAGATAATAAAAAGACAAGCCATAAACCAAAATCTCACTGAGCATCTCACTGACATCAAATAAAACAGGTAGATCTCATCCACATGTCTCATTAGAAATAGTAAAACACCTCAGAAAGGTAAACACTAAATGCATCTAAAAATAAAGAAGGTGCTAAGTTTGAATTATCACTGGATATAGCATAAACTTAGAATGTAAGAACAGCTATAATTGAAGGTGGAGAAAAATGCAATTGGTTGAAAACATGTATATTTTACAGTTGTAATTGATATTATTAGTTGGAGTTATTTTTGCTTTCCCATCACACATTTATTTTCTTATGCAATATTTTTTCAGGACGTTCTTAGAATATAGCTCCAGCTTTATTTGTTTTTTTTTTTTTTTTTAGATTTATGATAGTCACACACACAGAGAGAGAGAGAGAGGCAGAGACATAGGCAGAGGGAGAAGCAGGCTCCATGCACTGGGAGCCCGATGTGGGATTCGATCCTGGGTCTCCAGGATCACGCCCTGGGCCAAAGGCAGGCGCCAAACCACTGCGCCACCCAGGGATCCCTCCAGCTTTATTTGTATGTTTAGTTTAATTATTTATCACTTTTTAAGAACTGAACTATCAGTACACTGATAAATATAATCATAGAAATTATGATTCTTTGAAATACAAATGTCTACCAGCATTAAAGTTGTTTTGATTTGGTTTGCTACTGTCCTTGTGGCTAAGATTCTTCTCACTTATAATAATACCAATGTTCGATGTAGTAATCACTTCCTTTCTTTTTTAACCTTAACTTTATCTGAAACTATTATAAAAGAAGGTAGTAGAGCTTATTTAAGTACAGTTAAGTATTTTGTTTTTTAACATAGTACTTAAATTCTTTCCTTTCTCTCACTTGATGAAACTATTTTTAAAAAATGGAATTGAGCTTTCCTTTTATACTGCCACATTTGTAAGGCCAGATTTGCCAGAATTTGCTCAGAGACCTGACTACTAAAATGTACTATAATAACCTCTTTGCTTTTCCCATTCCAGTTGAAATCACCTTCTTCCTGATTCTTGTTAAGAAGCTCTTTCAAAGTGTTTACTAAAAAACTGGGATCTGTTCCAGGTTCTTCCTTCAACAGAGTTACACTAAGTGGTCTGTGGATTATTCCATCAGCCTCAGCAACACCATTATTAGTCTGCCGCCCATCTAAAGAGACAGTTGATGCTGAATAAGTATTTCCTAAATGATCCATTATAGGAAGCAAATATAATTCTGGTTGAAGAGCCTGAAACATATAGGAAATTTAAAAAATTAGTTTGTAATTTAAAATACAGTAAGTTAAAAATTAACATAAGTTTAAAACATCACATTACATACATATGGAGGAGCAAATGATTTGAGTTTCAGTTCCGATTCTTGTTTTGCCTTCACCTAGAATAAATAAATGACAAAAAAATAAAGATTTTTTGTTTTCAATTATTTTTATTCCTTTTTTGTAGAAGGCACATATCTGTGACATAAAAATCAAATCTAAAGCTGATAATTAAGGCTAGAGTCTAGAAACTGTAAAATATAATCCTATTTATACTCACTGTACAAAACGTAAAAGAGATTCCATGTCATTTGGTAGTAATAATTATGGCTATCACTTGCATGGACTCACTATATGCCAAGCACTATTCTAAGTGCTTTACATATATTAGCTTAGTTAATCTCCACAATTCTATGTGAAAGGCACATATATATAGTTCACAGACAAAAGGATTGAGGAAAGAAATTAAATAACTTGCCTATAATTTTATAACTAGGCATATTCCAAATTGGGATTCAAAATCAGATAATCTGGTTCCAGAGTCCAATGTTATAAACTCTATTTCCTAAATATACAACCCAAAGAGTTCATTTCTTATTCATCCATCCATCCATCTATCCTTTCAACAAATACTGAGGGCATACTATGAGTCAGGCAGTATTCTATATGGTGGGAGATACAATGGTAAACATGGCAAAGTCCTTGCTTTATGTAGCTTATTTCTACTTAGGAGAACAGAGGTTAAATAAACATGATTTAGGATAGTGATATGTGATTTATGAAAACAAAAAAGTGACATAATAGAGATTAGTGTAAGAGAAAGAATATCTAAAAAACTAGGTAGTCAGAGAAGGCCCTTTTGAAAAGATAAAAATTGAGCCTGAGACCTAAAAGAAAAAGCAAGCTATTTGAAATCATGGGGAAGTAATTTTTAGGCAAGTGTAAAGAACATAAATCCGAAAGGAGTTTGCTGTATTTGAGGACCAAAGATTTTTGTGTTTCAAATGGAGAACCAAGGAGAAAAATAGTGGTAGAGGAAATTTGAGAAGGAGCCTATTTCTTAGGTCCTCCATATCTCTGACCTAACCATTGCAAAAGTTAAAATCCTTGCCTCTAGTCTCTTAAGACCCTCATCATGTCATCTTTTACTCAAAAACGTCAATGCTTCAGAAACAATACTCATTAATCTGGCATTCAAGTCCTCCAACAAATGATTTTACAATTTGTTCTCTACTATTCCTTTTCAGACCATGTTACAATAAAAAAGGAACCATCTACTTTTTCTACAAAACAGTTGTCTGTTTTTCTACTTCTGTGCTCATTCTATATGCTCAGAAAGCTTTCCCATCAACATCTTTGCAAGATCAAGTATTTATCTTTCAAGGTCCAAACTGAGTATCATTTTTTCTTCAAAGTTCTCGACCTCTCCTCTTCTTCTGCTAAAAGTAATCTTTCTTCTTCTGAATGTACAAAATATTCTATTTTAATTATTTATGTATTTTCTCTTCAACACTACAGTGAATATATTCTTTAAGGGCAGGATTGATTTCCAATTCTTTTTTTCTCATTTTTTTTTTAAAGAATATGAATAGAGAGAGAGAGAGAGAGCAGGCAGAGACACAGGAGGAGGGAGAAGCAGGCTCCACGCCGGAAGCCCGACGCAGGACTCAATCCCGGGACTCCAGGACCGCGCCCCAGGCCAAAGGCAGGCGCTAAACCGCTGAGCCACCCAGGGATCCCCTTTTTTCTCATTTTGTTTAGAGAAAAACATCAATAAAAATTTATTGAAAATAATAAAATATTAGAAGAACTTTAGAAGTTGATTTAAATTATCCTTATTAAGGTCCCTTCCAACTTAGGATTCTGTGACTGTTACTTGGTATTTTAGATATTATGAAAAAGAACAAAAAGTTCTAAGAACTGTTTTTTCTTTCTTGTTTAAGAAAATTTTAAAGATGAGAAAATTAATATTCTACCATACTGAACAGAATTCAAATGACAAAAACTTCAAATTTAGCTGCTGATCCTGAGAATTCTACATAACAAATTCCTTTATAGTACTACTTTGGAGAGAAATGCTTTTTTTTCCCCATTATCATTCATTATTTAATTTGTTCAATAAACATTTAAATGCCTCTAAGTGCTAAACACTTTGTTAGGCATTGGCTATAAATACAGTAGTGAATAAAATAAAAGTCCTTGCTCACAGGGAGTTATAGCCTAATAGTAGAGTCAGATGTTAAACAATCACATAAAAAAATACATACTAATGACATAATGTGCTAACTAGAGTGGAATAGGAAAATACTGAATTTTTGTTTAAATATAGAAAGTCTTGATTAAAGAAATAAACCTTATGTAGATAAGAGAAAGCAGAAACTTTGAGATCTGATGGCCTGCTGGATTAAGAATTTTATCTAGGGAAACTCTAGTTGGAAAATCCTGCCATTAAAACACAGAAACTACAAACAGAAGTGTTCAACAGATAACAGCTGAAACAAACAATTGTTAAGAGTACTATCATTTCATACCAAAGGCTAGCTGTGGCGCAAACAGTGAGGATCTATTTTTGTCCAGAACACAAGTACTTACTTAAAATGTTTTTAGGGGGCAACTCAGTGGGTTGAGCAGCTGACTCTTGATTTTTGGCTCAGGTCATGAGATTGAGCCCTGTGTCAGGCTCACACTGAATATGAAACCTGCTTAAGATTCTCTCTCTCCTTGTCCCTACCCCCTGGCCCCTTCCCCTAGCTCATGCACATGCTCTCTCAAAAAAAAAAAAGTTTTAAAACACTCATTTATATTTAAAAATACATATTACTTATATAATCACATTTTAATTTTGTCTTCCTTTTCTTCCCTAGGAAATACAGACCCAAAAATATCTCCATCATTTTAGTGCCCAATAATATCCCAGTAAGACCCATTTTTTGATAATCTGTGTATTTAGTGATATTTCCATTTCATTATAATTGATATTACTTATCCCATATAATAGAAGCTGAATTGATAAGCTGAGTTGATAAGCATTTAAGAAACATAATTTGTTCAGTTATGCTTTTCTTTAATCAAAAGGAAAAATAAGAAAACTTACCACAGCTAGATTATTTCCAATGCATTTCAGAAATAAAAATTTTTCTGCAATAGCATCTTCACCAAGGAACTCACCAAGTTGCTCTCTCAGGGCTTGTAAAGTAAGATGAGGAGATACTCTGAAATATCATGACATTGCCTTATAATGTAAAATGAAATAGGTTTCAGCTATACCACAAATTCAATAACATTAGTCAGCTATCTCAAACATAAATACCAATTTAATGCATCATAGTTTAATATATTGTTTTTATATTGCCTAGCACTTTGTAAAACTTCAGAAAATTAAAAAAATAAAATGATTATGCAAATAAATACTGTTTATAAAAGTCCTTTCTATGCTGAAAAGGGAAATGCTTGTCTACTTTCTTCATCCACCTCCAACCTATAATATTAAAAAAAAATTTGCTATAGAATTTATATACTTTTATACATAAAAAATGATTTAGCCACAGATGTTTATTTTGGAAGTTTGACAGGATTAGCTAGTGCTTAAACATTTCTTTGATAATCAAATATTGTCAGACTCCATAACCTTGCTCATCATTAGGAATATTTTACTCCTTAACATCTAAAATTTAAAACCATCATTTAGCTACTGTTTTGAGTTCTTGTTTTTCTAGAATCTTAAGGGGAAAAATTAAATAATTCATTCAACCAAGAAATATTTATTGAGCACTCACTATACGTCAAGAATTGTTCTAAGGGATGGGGATATGGCAATCAACAAAAGAGACAAAAATTTCTGCCCTTACAGACTTTACAAATCCAGTGATGGGAAAGAAAAATAAACTAAGAAAAATAGATAATTCCTAAGATACTGCTAAGTACTATAAAGAAAAATAAAGCAGGGAAGGGAGGGTAACTATAATCTTAAATATAGTGATCTGAAAAGATCTAAACAAAAAAGTATTATGGGAGTGAAGAGCTGAAGAAGAGAGGGGATATGCATGTATGTAAGTGTATGTACAACATATATGAAAAAGTCATTGTAGATATACTGATTTAACAACTATTTACAACTCTTCAACAGGTTTCTAATTTCACATAATTTCTCTTTTAATTCTCTTTGTGTATAGTAATATACCAGATATACCTTTTTTTCTGGGTGGCAGTACTATGACTGACACCTGTTCCTACAGTAATTAACTATTATATAGCATTATCTATTGATAGTATTAAGTTAGAAAATCATTACATGGACCAGAGCTTTTCACTTATAACTTAAATTTCCAAAAAACATTTTTTCTCTGCAGAAAAAAAGATTGCTTTTTCAGGCACTTATACATGACCACAAAATACTTGCCTTATAAATCCAGCTGAAATGAATTTGTTAACAACTTCTATTGAAATGGTATTTAGCTTGTAATTCCACGATCCTTCAGGGACATAAAAAACATGAAGTTCCACTAACTGAATAAATTGAGAAGAATATCAGTTAAAATACTTTTAAAATTAAAAAAAATCAACTGATGTTCTCTAGAATTTTAAGCTTAATAAACAGAATAGAAATAAAACATGGAATACATGTATCCTTATGAACAAACACAAAAAACAAAATGAAGAGCAAGAATTTTGGTTAGTTAGCTACTCAGTACTTGGGAGCACATCTTCTCACTAGAAACAATGTCATAGATGTAGTTCTAGGATACCCTAACATCTCTGACAGCATTCTTTTGGTGGCTTGACCTAAGAGTACCAGACCACCAAGATCAGTTTTCTGGTTACCATAGTTTCCTTCTCCCCTGGTCCCTACCTACTCAGTTATGTTGGGGTGATCTTGTGGAATCCTTATACTTTACATATTGTCTCCCTAGTGATGATTGCTAGTTCTCTGTAACTGCAAAAGTGTGAAAACAGTGGTTTGGGAAATATTTTTGTTTCCTAGAATTCTAGGAAGAACCTATTCCTGATGGTGATAAGGAAGGAAATAGTTGTTCTTATATAGGTCATGTCTGTCAGGTTAGCTTGTCTATGCTTATAAATACCACTTTCTTTTCTATTAATGTTTTGTTAAACCTCAATTAGAATCCTTCTATTTAAAAGAATATTTAGACTACAACACAAACAGAACAATTATAGCAAATGGTCTTATCTTTTAGTTTAATGAAGTTATTATTAACTGCATATTAAAATTTAAATGATTATACTCTGTAATATTAAATATCTGAGAAAAACTTTAAAAATTTGAATATAACCTATCATTGAAATTAGAAGTTTTTAGAGGAGATAATATTGGTTCTTGATCTGAATATTTTGCTCAAGTTGTTTTTACAGACCAAGTAAATTATTTCCATACATTTGATGTATGTATAGATCTGATGTGAAGTTTGCCATATGTTGTATTTTGAACACCAGAGCATTTAAAAGATAATTCCCTAGTTATATTATACTATTCATAGCAGCAGTACACTATACAACTAATACTATATTTAGTAAATACACAATTAAATATTTGCAAAGCCATCAAAAAACTTAATATGATCTTATCCTTTATATATAGAAATAAGAAAAAATATTTGAGCTAAAAATTTTCCTGTTTTTATAAGCCAAGTAAGTTCTGTCAATATGTTTATAACAGTTTATGAACTAGAAGTCAAAGTTGTATAAATTCCATAGTTGAATGAGTAGGCAATACAGAGAAAATATAGCTAATAAAACATTTCTTGGCCTTTGAAGCATTTTGTGATGTAAAATAATTTATAGTGAATTTGTGTTTATTCATTCCCTTAACAAATATTTATTAATGAGTACCAATGTCCAGCACTGGTCTAAGCATTAGGAATACGCAGTCAATAAGACAAAAATCTTTGACTATGTATATAGCTTTACATTCTAATGAGGTATAAGGACAAGAAGGGTGAGGCAAGTGAGGCACTCACCTCAGGTACAAAATTTAAGGCTGTACCAAAACCTCACTAATAAAGATAAGTAACATTTAAAAAAACCAAATTACTCAATGCAAAAACTTTCCTGATAAACAAAGTGTCAAAAATTTAAATAGAGAATTTAATACTATTAGAGCCAGAGATGTGAACCTCATTACATGTTTTTAAAAAGAGAAATATATTTCTTAATGGCAACTTTTTCCAGAATAACCAAATAGTTGAAAAAAATACTGAAAAATTTAAAAGTATATATTAACACAATATTACTTTGAGCTCAAATATTCTATTTATATTGAAACATGAATTTATTATAATTTTACTTTCTTGGCTTTCATGAAAGCAAGCTCATCAGTAATATTTTTATCAAAACTATTAACCATTTAGAAATACACTAAAAGGTATATTTATGGGCACATATTTTGCCTTTTGCCTCAGGCTCCAAAATGGCTATGCATAGGACCATCAGATTCTATTTCTATGTAAAATGCTATTATGGATTTTTTGCATCAGTTTTTCTTTTTTTTCCTAATATTTTATTTATTTATTCTTGAGAGACACACAGAGAGAAATAGAGACATAAGCAGAGGGAGAAGGAGGCTCCCTGCGGGGAGCCCAATATGGGACTCTCTCCTAGGACCCCGGGATCACAACCTGAGCACACATTCAACCACTGAGCCACCCAGGTGCCCCACATCAGTTTTTAATTTAAAAAATCTCATATTGTATTATTTATCTTACTTATGGAAGTTTTTTTTATGTGTGCCCCTTAAATTTTGCACCCAAGGCAAGTGACTCACTCATTTGCCTCAGACTAGTCCCAGGCCTGTGAGGAATATGAACAATCAGCAATAAATATAAAACATTGATAAGTTATACAGTACATTAGAAAGTGGCAAGTACTGAGAAAAAGAATAAGTAGAGCAGGGTAAGGAAAATTGGGAAAATAAAAGGGGAAGTAGATTTCAGTTTTAAATAGTCTGGGTAGGTCTTATGAAAAAAGGTGAGATCTGAGTAAAGACTGCAGGTGAAGAAACAATTTTCCAAGTGATGATATAGAGGGAATGAATTCCAAGAAGAGCTAAAGCAAGGGTCTTTTTTTAAAAAAAGATATTTTATGTATTTGAGAAGGAGAGACAGAGAGAGCACATGTGTGTGTGTGGGGGGGGGGGTTGCTGGTAGAGGGAGAAGCAGATTCCTGCTGAGCAGGGAGCCTGTTCTGGTGGGGCTTAATCCCAGGACCTTGAGATTGTGACCTGAGCAGAAGGCAGATGCTTAACTGACTGAGCCACCCAGGCACCTCTAAAGCAAAGGTCTTAAGGTGAGAGAGTGCTAGTATGACTGAAGCAGAGAGATCAGCAAGAGATAAAAATGAAAAGGGCAAGGAACAAATTAAATAGGTTTTTCCAGGCCATTATAAAGTCTTCATCTCACAAAATGGGAAATCAATATAGGATTTTAACAAAAGGACATCTGACATTCATATTATATTTTTGTTATTTTAATATGAAAAATTCTAAACATACGTACAAATAAAAAGAATAATACTATGAATACTCAAGTACCTACTATGTAGATTCAAAAGTTAACATCATACTATTTACTTCTCACCCTCTCTCTTCTTAAAGGCAGACTGCCACATGCAATTACTTATTTGGATGTGCCTTAAGTCTTGGAAGCTTGACTACCCTACCTTCACCTACAATTGGACCCTGAGAGATTGTTTGGAGGTTCTCGCAGAGAAGCACAGCCTCATATGCCCTTGACTGAAGAATGGTCCTCCTCTATTGGGGAAGGACCTCCCTTTCAATCCAGCATGCAACTTTAGGAGGTATCCACATGGAGCTGTGAGGGAGGGAGAGGAGACCTGCCTAGCCAGTCAGATCAGTCAAATCAACCCTGGCAATCAATGGACAGATGTTGCAATCAGATCATCCGCACAGTCTTCTATACCTTTATTGATATATCAAAGTAAATCAGACATTGTGAAAATATACTCCTAAATACTACAAATAAGGATTTCTCTAACATAATCATAGTACCATTTTCACATTTAAGAAAATTAACAATCCTGTAATGTAAAATATCAATTCCATATTCAAATTTCCTTAATTATCCATTTGTCCTCAGAATTTTTTTCAATCTAGAATCAAGGAGAACACATTGCATTTGGTTTGTCATAACCTTAAAAATCTGAATCTGCAAGTTTTCCAGATTGGTCCCCCACCCCCCTTCATGGCATTAACTTTTTAAAGGGACTGGGCCAGTTGTTTTAAAAAATGTTTTGCATTCTAAATTTACCTTAGTATCTCCTTAAGATGTCATTTAACTTAATAACAATCTTTTTTTTTAGCATAGCATAGTTTCCTTTTTAAAATCATTTTCTAATCATGAAAAATGTATTCTTTAGTCCCCATCCCCTATTTTCCTCATTCCCCCAACCCACCTCCCCATCAGTTTGTTTTCTGTAGTTGAGTCATGTTTGTCTGCCCTCCCCCTTTTTTTTTTTTGCTCATTTACTTTGTTTCTTAAATTCCATATTTGAGTAGGATCACATACTATTTGTCTTTCTCTTATTTCTCTGAGCATTATACTCTCTAGCTCTATCCATGTTGTTGCAAGTGGCAAGATTTCATTCTTTTTTATGGCTGAATAATATTCCATGATATATAGACTTCTTTATCCAGTCACCTACCAATGGACACTTGAGCTGCATGTAGTTTGGCTATTGTAAATAATGCTGTAAAAAAACAGAGGTGCATATATCCCTTTGAATTAGTGTTTTTGTATTCTTTGGTGTAAATACTCTGTAGTGTGATTACTAGATTGAAGGGTAGTTCTATTTTTAACTTTTTGACAAATCTCCATACTGTTTTTCATGGTGGCTGCACCAATTTGCAGTCCCAATAGTGCAAGAAGATTCCTTTTTCTCCACATCCTCCAACACTTTTTTATTTTTGACTTTAGCCACTCTGGCAGGCATGAGGTAATATCTCTTTGTGGTTTTGATTTGCATTTCCTTGATGATGAGTGATGTTGAGCATCCTTTCATATGTCTGTTAGCCATCCGAATGTCTTCTTTGGAGAGATGTCTGTTCGGATCTGCTGCCCACTTATTAGATTGTTTTTTTGGATGAGTTGCATCAATTTTTAAAAATACTTTGGATGTCATCTGCAAATATCTTCTCCCTTTTACTTTGTTATTTCCTTCACAGTGCAGAAACTTTTTATTTTGATGTAGTTCCAATAGTTTATTTTTGCTTTTATTTTCCTTGCCTCAGTAGATATACATAGAAAAATGTTGCCATGACTGATGTCAGAGAAATACTCTCTTCTAGGATTTCACAGTTTCAGGTCTTGCATTTAGGTTTTTAATCCATTTTATTTCTGTGTATGGTGAAAGAAAGTGGCCCAGTTTCATTCTTTTGCATGTGGCTGTCCAGTTTTCCCAACACCATTTGTTGAAGAAACTTTTTCCCATTGTATATTCATTTCTTCTTTGTTGAAGATTAATTGACCATATAATTA